ATCGTATGGACAGGCCAGAATGTATATAATCTGGTTTAAATACTTAACCTGTTCTTTTATTATACTAAAAATGCATCAATTTTTTTATACAATAGTGCTTACATATCAGGTGGAACTATTTACCACAGTATTATCTCACTATATGTTCCTTGCGAAGGGTTTCGGAACCTACTAAGTTAGGACTAAGCCTTAATCAATTATGTTGGCGCAGTGCAGGTTGGTTTACTTTAGACATATGCTTTAAATTATTTTAAGACATGTTCGTCGGGTCATACATGTGAAATTCGAAAAATATATTGATGAATAGCGCGAATCGATCCCAGGATTTGCAGATAACAAGTCAAGTCAAGCAACGCCTGAGCAACCATCGCTCTATTTGCTACATGATTTTATGTAATTACGACTTGTTTTTGAGAGTTAGGGATATGTTATCTCTATTTATTATGCAAACGAGTCGGCTGAAAACAAACTAGCTTATCTGATAATATCACCTGGAAATAGAAACATACTATAATCTTGTGCGAAACAACTTATCGAAGCATTTCCTTCATTTTCTGCTAGAAGGTTGACATCGTAATTAAAACTTCTCTGGTATAACAAAAACTCATTTAACGCAAGAAATGTATGAAACTATGTCGGTTATTTAAGTAAAATAGCGTCCTCTAAGCGATACAAATTATGCCGGTCTGACGTAACTCGCCGTTTAAAGACCTTTATTGCACAGACCATTAAAACATCAGAGAGTAAGATAATAATAATTTTTAAAAATTGACTGATAAATACTTGTGTCCACAAACAACTTAAACTATGTCAATGTCAGCTTACAAGTCCAATTAAATGAGCTAATGCTAAAATATTATGCAGACCAACCCAGTGTATTAGCATTTAAATAAAATTTATCGTTGTACAAGATCAAGATTCCATCTCCCTGACTACAGTGATTACAGAACACATTATACATTGATGAGTGGCGTTTTGCAATAATCCAACAATGAATCATTTATCATTTACGCATACTGTGATTATATGTAATTGTTTAATTACCATAACTTAAGATTCTACAGATCGCTATAAAAAGGTTTCAATTACACGTAGTTTTTTATTTGCAATATTTTTATCTGCGCTGTCTTTTCCACGAAACTTATATTAATTTAAGTAATTAAATATTTAAGAACTCTCTAACTACAACCTACTCTGTGTTCCGTACTGTACAATTGGTTTTACGACTATCTCTAAAATTAAACAGCGTAACCGCGATGTACTAAGTCCTTGAAAACCGCCTTATATCCCGGACACATTATTCATTTTACTGTTTAACCAACATCCCGCAACAAATATTTAAACCGGAACACAATAAAACCATTTTGGAATTTAATTCCAGCCTTCTTCGTTCATGATTTTTAATAAATATTAAAAGAAATTAAAAAAAAATGATATAACGTCACTGGATAGCCGGTAACATGAAAAAGAAAACTGACTGCCGAAAAAGGCACCGCGTAGCTTCGTGAACGTACTTTATTTTTGATATTCCAAGCACGATCCCCGGCGCACCTTCGATATCCCATGTGCAACATTGTACGGAGCCATCGCAACCATCGCTCGATTTAATCTCAAGTCTTTGAACCTCGCACAAAGAGCATCTTGCACTTCTCCAAACATTCTATGCCTGCAATAACGACCCTTATAAGTAATATGTCAAAGTTCAAATTTAATTTTTTTTTTTATTTCTTGGTGATATATGATCCTAAGGATTTACTTGCTTGAGGTTTGCGAGATTTATCGAAAATCTTACATAACAGTTACTTTAGGTCTGCCGCGTTATCTAGCAAGCGTGTGTTCAAAGTATTGCATTGTTAGTGGCAACATTATTAAAATAAATAAAAAATCACGGTTATTCTAACCGGTTTATTATATCAGGATTAATATGGGGATGGTCTGTGAGGCGCGATTAACGTCATCAAAATAAAAACACTTCACATTTAGTCTATGTTACTCTATATCTGACAGGCTCAGCGACGCGCGTGGTCGTCTTGTGGTTTTATGTTACAGTGACCATGACAAGCGGCATTTAACAGACATTATATTATATGAGGAAATTAAAAAGATAAGCGTCATTTCACTCTTATGTTTCAATACACAAGTGTACAATATGTAATGTTTTTCATACATCATTTCTAATTTACATGTAAGTTAAAATTTGTTTGTAGTTAATGTTCGTTTTTTATCCGTTTATTATTTGTCTTATCCAAAATCATGGTGACATCGTCCACTAGGCGGATTCGCGTTGCGCTCGGCTCGGCTCATTAGCCGAGTGGCGGTCAGCGGTTAGCGGTCAGCGCCAATGCGGCGTGAAACGTGGAAAATTGATCACTGAATACAAACATGACCACTCCGAAGGTCTTCTTATTCTGACTTCTTTTATTTTAGAGAGCAGCCAAAAAGACCTTTAAAATACTTTTTGAGTCTTCTGCCATAGCAAAAACAGGCGTAATAGAACTTACCTAATGTAAGAAAACTATTAATTGGTATGTAGAGAATTTATACAATTATCGCGTTCATCATTTTTTTAATTTTCCCTTTGTATGAGTACTTAAATTTATTCAATGTATTCAAAACGAACCAAAACTACGAGAGTAACCTAATTTGCCAACGATTTATCAAGCAACATCAGAATTTACTACGAAATAAATCGTCGACTTTATAGGTTATAATAAACCTACAAATATTTTCCCATTCATGATATAAAAGCAATCAAACGAACGCCTCTGGTAACCATTAAATTAAAAATAATCATTAAGCGCAACGAAAACTTTCATTTCCATCGACCATATAATAATTTCACTACGCGGTTCAGATACGTAACTGTATCTAATCGAGAACATCGACTTCCTCGCTGTAATAATTAAAATAAAGCAAAGAATTAACTTTGACAGTTTGTAGACACGCCAAATGGTAAAATTGTCATTAGATATAGAACTAAAGAAATACTTGGTTAATTAAAAAAATCCATATACACTACTGACTGTACCCTCTGTACTTCGAGCATAATAGACCAATTGCACCTCACTTTTCGTGCACTGTGCAACTCACATACACAGATTTCTTTATTCCTTAAATCAGATATTACAAAGGTGATCTAGATAAACAATCAAGTAACATAAACTCAAGTACACAAAAGATAATATTTTCTAAACGTATTATGTTATAACATGATCAGTCGATATGAAGTAATGCAGTTGTGCGAAGCTCGGCATGGCGCATTTCCGTGTCCGCTGAGATATCGCGCCGCGAAACCATAAATTGCTGAGCCGCAGCTGCAGCCAGCGAGTAAAAGTTATTGTATTTATTAAGATACAATCACTGCATAAATCTATAGGAAGACGGGAAATATATACGAACAGATGTTCTGTCTGTACGTTTAACTGTAGTTTGTAATAGAAGAAACTACTCCTGTATTTATTACTACAGCAGAAGCCTCGATTACCCGTACTAAGCTAACATTATAAATGAAAGACTACGCACATGTACTCTGTGGATACATACAAATCCTTGCTACTGAGTTTTTTCAAATTAAAACACATTGATTGCATTGTATCATACTAACATCCAACTAAGCAAAAACATTGCAATAATTGAGTTTGTATTAAAAACAGAAATTAAAAAAAAAACTGGTGGCATCATTGCTTTATGACATAATAAATGACATCTGAACACGGGCTATATTTTTAATGATTTAAATATTTGCACTAGACTATAGCTCTCAGTAGTTAGACTTTAATAGTGTTCCTACGCCCACGCCCCCACACGGTACGGAACGGAAACACAATTAAACTTGGAAATGCGACACGTTTGTTTTACTGCGTCCATTATTGATTTACGCCGATAGCCGACACTCGTAAAGCTGCTGTTTCTATTTAGCTGGCGACTGCCTGAGTTATGAAAACTAAATCTTATTAAAAGTTGAATATTTCTTAGGAACAGACGAAGTAATCTTCTTAAATGCAAATTGAAGGCTGTATTTTATATAAAAAATAAGTGGAAAGTAACGTAAACTGTAATTAACTCCTACAGAGGTTAATTTAAAACTTAAAATTTTTGAGGGCTAAATAAGAACCAGAACTATAAGTAAAACGCTATTATTATACATGTCAACATAATTTGCGTTTAAAAACTGATTTTTGATCATCATTTAATCTTAAACGCTAAATAATGTTAATCACATTTCAAGAAACCCTTAATTTATATCAATAATTGCCTTAGTACTTTAAGACACGGTATTTAATGTCAATAAAATTAAGTAATAATTTAACCTCACTGAACACTAAGAACGCACCTCGACAAAGCTGCGGAGAATTACTGGCTAATGCACTATTATTAGTTCTAATTTCTTATAATAGATGGCGGTTACTACAAAGCTGGCCGAGACTGCAACTTACAGCGTGTCGCCTAAATTGCACTCTTAGACTAGGTATACTTTTCTTAGGTAAATCTCAAAAATAAAGTTTTAATAAATTATGTTAAGAAACTGACATGGGTCATGTTGCGACGGATTAGTTTCATGTTGATTTTCTAAATTTATGAAAGAAAAATAAAACATGTAATTAGAAATACATTATCGAAAAATAGTGTAACGATTTTATAGTTAGAATCAAGACAATTTACTCCGAATCTAGATTTTCTTGCGGCTGTACTTTCTAACTTAGCCTTAATACGTGCCAAGAGTGAATTATTATTCTGGCAAACGGTTAACAAATTATATTACCTCTTCGAAGTAGTTTTACGACAAGAAAATTATTCACGACTCTGCGAATGTCATTTATTAGGTAAGATTAGAATTTCGAGAAAGAGCTCGACGCAAGTAATATGCTAGTTTACTGTCTGAAAAGTAAATACAGTTCCACTGTAATTTAAATTACTTATTCCGTACTTAGTGAGATTTTAATACTCTGCGAGTCTGCATACTTTGATGTTTTACTTTATATTTTTCTGTTTTGTTTCAGGTTGCAATCAATACATCTAACGTAAAAGGACTATTCATAATGTTCTGATCCACTTAGGAGTTTGATTGTTATTCAAAAATATGATCACAGACCGGGTCATACGCGAGTGAAGTGAAGTGAAGTGAATCTCTAACATACGTCAGTGTTAACGCCAGTGTACTTTACAACTCATGATGGAAGCCCTTGAAAGGAGAGAAAAACTGCTGGCGATCGCTGCTATCGTGTTCATCATCTTTTGGTCTCAATGTAAGTTGTACACCTACTATAGTAGCCGGGAAGCAATTGGAAGGGTAAATCAAGGGGAGGGGTTTGAGTGAAGATATGAAAAAACAATCTAACTCTACCTTCACAAATGAAACCAATCCGTTAAGGTAAAGATAATAATAAGATGATGGCGATGATGATGGTAGAAGTTTCTTTAGCGCATATAAAAAACGTCAAATTAAGAAACATTGATCTCTAGGTAATTTTTGTATGTAAGAACAGTGTACTCGACGATCGCCGCACATGACACACTCATTAGTTATATCAAAAGCAACACTCACGAAGTAAACCATGTTAAGATAGTTATAGATAAGATTTACGTCACAAATATTTACCTTGCTCAGGTTCAGTGGCTTGGAAATTTCATTTCGCATTGAAGCATTACAATAATTTAAAGAATTTTTTGCCTCGTAAGTGACAGAAAAGATTACTAAACAGATATTTAACAATGAAATCGCTATATAAATTCAAATCACAATTTAATATGACAGATACTGTGTCCTGTAAAACAGAGGTGACCTATACTCAAGTTATAATACAGCCTTATTGTAGTCGTTAATATGAGACACGGCAGACTCACGTAGTACATTAGCGATGTGGCATAGAGCTGCATTATTCATCAATTGCACAGTTTATCAAGCAGACGGCTCTGAGTTAAGCTAGGACTTAAAATTTACAAATTCAGTGATAATGCACGTAGATTTATGATCTATTCCTGTGATTTAAGCCGTCGACTTAAGATGTATTTAATTTACTCATTTTGTGCTTATGATTGGCAGACTAATTATGTTATTATGACATTTTAAAAATATTTTAATAAAATAAATACTTACAAGTTTATCGCAAGTGTGTTCCCTTAACTAACAGTAATAAAAACTAGTTATCTGAGATTTTAGATTTAACATGTGATATCGACTTCGAACTGTAAGCCAAAAAAATGCATTCACCTAGTCTGCTCGAAGACTAATGGCGTGTTTCCAACATTAGAAGGCAAACAAAAAAGACACAAAAAGTGAAAGAAAGTATGTAATTGATAGTTTTCTTTCCTTACCTATTCAAAGTCATGAGGTTTAGTAAAACTCTTTGGCAAGACTCACAGACAGACGTATTAGCGCGCTCTGATTCTATAGTAATAAATCAATTCACAACATTGTATCAAACAGTACTAATCCCGTTAATCTGATAAATGAAAATTATCGTGCGAATGGATTGCACAAACGAAATACAGACATCGTAAAATTATCTAACACTTGTTTCTCAAATGTTGGTTGTATTTATGATAAGTTAATTAAAAAATTGAAAACAAATCACGTAGATTTTGTTTCGTTGCAATTCGTCAAAGGTTTTTGAGATTCCATACAGATTTTAAATTAATTTCCTTCGAATTGTTTTACAAAGATTTTGGAATTCCTGACAAATGCGATTTCTCAATTATATTATTATTCTCTTATTTATTTGTTGTATAACAATAAATGTCACACAAAGTCTAGTTTAGTCGCCACTCGGCCTTGGCTGAAAACAAGTTATCCAAATGTTTCGCAGGCGCCAACGCCTACGACCGTTAGTCTTGTGACTCCGGATGCAGCTTCTTTAAGAACCAGAATTTGATATTAGAATCCATCAAAATGTAAATTAACATGTACAACCGATACATTGTTTTTGTATGGAGTTACATTTTTTGAATGATTTTGCTCGCTGACTTAGCCTTACTTACCCTTACCTTTTCACATTCAGACTTTTCAGAAAAATAGTCATACGGGCAAGGTACAAAAACTACGAGCAAGCCAATAGCATCTCAAAGCAAGATTGTTTTCTTACAGCTAAAAAAAGGCAAAGACCTTTTTTGTTACTATCCCATTTGAATTACTTTTAAATATTTTGTTTATTTACTGAAAGTTAACAATAAAATGAAATTTGTCTGCAAGTTAGAAAGCAAAAAGGAGCCTATCACAAAATGTTGCTACCTTTGAAGCAATAAGTTGGAAAGACAATATTCAGAAATATCGTTTCGATTTTTTTTACTATTTTTCCTTAAATAGTAAACACAATAAAGGGTACACATATATATTTTTTATTTTTATTCTTTTTAAATCGGACTTTCAAGGTTTGTGAATGTCATGTATTTGTAACACTAGCATGTTTAACAGGTCCTGGTGTGGAGGGTCACCGCAACACCACGAAGATGTCGTATGTGTGCCCGCCGCAGTTCATCCGGCTCGGTCACAGCTGTTACTTCTTCAGCGACAACAATGCCACCTGGCAGAGCGCACTCTTCGCCTGCAAGGTAACCTTACACTTTATAAGTATCACAAACTAGAGTAAACGCAGGTTAATCAATTTTTGAAAGTAGGTAGAATTCAATTTTTACATTCTTTGAATCGAGGATTCTCTACAGCCTAGATTACAGTCCAAATTTCATTCATTTTAAGTCGTTCTAAAGTTCAAAGTCGTTTAACTTCGAAGCACATTTCAGTTGTTTTTTATTATTTTATTGAGAAATTGATTTAATATGGCTTTGTAATTATATTCTGCTGAAGTAAATCGAAGGTTTGTTTGCGGTGCAATGTTTCTCAATCTGTGAACATTGTGCGTGCCCAGTATATCGGTTACTCGCTTTTAAAAACACATTAAAATTCTAAAGCTGACTGATGTTTATCTTAAACCTATTGCCACAGTTTTTTACGGACTTTAGGATACGCAAACGTATATGCAATCTTTATTCCATTTATTACGCACGTTAGTTTCACTGAATTAATAAGGACTCATTTTATTGCGTACTAGCGATCCGCCCCTTGTTGCCTTGGTGGCAAAGAATATCCGTTACGTAGTTTTGTTACATCCATACTCTTCCTGTGATACAGAATATAGCTTATTCAATTACAATAAAGCTTTCTAATGACGAAAAAATTTTTGAAATCGATTCAGTAGTTACAGCAATATTCAATACTAACAATCTAAATTTACCTCTTTATATTATAGCATAGATTTTAAATTGATTCGATTTTTTACATTTATTATGATAATATTCCGAACAACGGACAAGTGTGAAAAGGTCTGTATCATACTTTAAATAGGAAATAACATATTTTTTATCATTTACTGTAACACCTCGCTGATGAAGACATATTAATTAAAACTCGATATACAATCATTTTATTGCTTCTATAAAATATTACAATCATTAATTAGGCGAAAAAATGGACAGACATTTTAGCAGACGCATTTAATTCAGTACCAGACATCTTGATTTGGATTTATTGCGAGTCGTAAAATTAAACTCGTGTCCTTAACATTAGGGTCTCCGAATTGTCTCAGTTGATACACCACTCTACACGGACAATTGTGTTTCGCTCGTTAATTAACTAAAGCCATAACATTTATAAATAAGATAATACTTCTACAAGATACATGTACATTCTGACTCATGGAGCATTCAGTTGTTTTTGCTTCCAAAACTATGTTCAATCGGAATAACATTTGGAAATGGCATGTGATGTTTTGATAAAACCCAATCAATTTTTATGAATTGAATTGTTGATTCTCCAAAAATGGCATTCATCGGACTAGTTATAAAGAGCAAAAGCTCATGTTTTATGAACGACTTAATTATTTAGATAAATATGGTCAAAATCGAATCGATGCAAACCGAAGGAGAAATATTTGCTTGAAGCAAAGACTATATTATCTGTCACCAATCCAATAAAGCGTGCGAATTATTTGACAGATGTCGAGTTTATGAAACGATATGGCCGTCGCACCGCACACGAGCTCTATGCTAAGCTAATCCTGATTTAAGAGTATTAATTTACATAATTTAATATACCACACGAACGTTTTGAACTTCAACAGAGGTGAATTCTTTTTAAAATCGGAAGTACAAAGCACATAAAATATTAGTTTAGCCATTATACTCGTACAAGAGAGGTTTATGCAACAATAACAAATGATTCGCGCGTGGGTTTGGTCGACGCAGACTAATATGGAACCAGTTCTCGCACAATATCCTCGGCCGCCAATTTAACAGTACAACTGTCGGACTCCGGCACCGTTATACAACAACGTTTTTTGCATACCATTAAGATGGTGTTACCACTTCAGGATTATAGACTGAAACCAATTGTTGTCTGTTTTCATAAAAATGCGTAATTAAAAAAAGGTTTACATGCCTTACGAGTAATCGTAGTAAACATAAGTTTAAGAATAAAATCAACCATGTCGAGGCTTATCTTCAGATTTCTCTCCAAAAATTTTACAAAATAATCACAATCATAAATAAAACAAAACATTTCATAAATATTAGGACGGTAGGAAGATCCGTATGGTTTTTATTATTAGAATTATATTCAACCGTTACATAATTTCCCGGTAATCAGGACAAGGCGTAGGAATTCCGCACGAGCGGAGTAAACACCGGACATCTGGCAACCCAAAGCAAACGGTACTCTCCATACATCCCGATGTCTACAGCAAGCGTTACATATGAATACGTCACAAATAGATTGAGTAGCACGACACGAATACGTTAAACTAAAGTAATTTTCACAAATCCAGGAAAAACTCGTTAAACGAACGCAGTGATGAATTCAAAATTGTCTTTTTCAATCATCAAAACAAGTGGGTAAATCCGCGTGTGGTTTGAATTTAAGGCACGTTCGCTAAAACAATATACAAGACAATAGACAAGATAAAGCTTTAAGCAAAACATATAAATTGGTTTTATTAAAAGCTACGGCCGTCGCAAAAAAGTTATCTTCGCCTAAAGTTAACTGCCAACTTCTTGCCAAAATAATGTAGTAAAAATAAGCTATATTTACTCCTTAAAAAAACATAGTTTTTATTATAAACATTTCAGCTTTGTTAAATTTAGTAGGTTGGAATGATGAAAAATTGTAAAGGGAAATGAGCTATTAGAGATAGATTAATGTGACTTTTAAATGGTTTATTTTAAATCTTCCAAGGTTACATAGGCCTCGCGTATCTTGTTATCAAATCTTTTAATAATTTTACTATCATAACAGCTGTAGGGAATATCGCTTGACATTTATGAATACGAAAATACATAAATGAGTATAAATCTTATGGATATTTGTTCAAAGAACTAAATATTTACAGCGAAGTCCTGTACGACTTGTACACGATACTTGAGAAATCATCGGCCTACGTCAGTACTATTGAAACATTTGAAATAGATAAAAAATAGACCACCGCGGACGTGCATGATCAGCATAGCTCACATGTTTATATAATCTGTTGCTATGTTGTTCCAGCGCCGGCCACCATACACATGGTGGCCGGCGAAGAAATTCAACTCATCCCATATATTTAAATAATACGCTTCCGAAGCATATGTTACGTTTCGTTATTGAGTCGTTAATCAAAACTGACCTATAAATAACAATTCGTAAGGCCGATCGAACACGTTCTTTGACTAGAGTTTAAAAATATTCATCGAATGATTTCACAGCTGGTACGTATCGATGATTGTGAGGTTATATTAAAATATCATTGGCCCGACCTTTAATATTGCCGTGAGCTCATCTCACTATAGATATTATTTTAACTCATACAACTGATGTGAATTAAACTCTTTTAATTAAATTCATTAAAGTTATCGTAATTTTTACATAACACACAATAAACACATTCAGGAATTTTATGTCAGATACAAAAATGCACTAAAAATATATTGTTATTTTTTTAAATCATGTAGTAGTTCAATGAATTTAGAGTATTGTGTGGCACTGCTCACTGCCAAGTGACCGGCTCTGCTTTGATCTCTGATTCCGCAACGTGAACAATTCCTTTGAAATTGAAACTTGACGCTAAGTGCTGTTGCCGGGAATGAGGAGTGAGTCCTATCGTAAGTTAGTTAATTAGTTTTACGTTCAACCTGTCTGTGATCAGAAAGTTTAATTCTGTGTAGTTATCGACTGCTACATGGTTAAATTGTTGACACGTAAAACTTACACGATTAAAAATAGTCTTCTGTCGTCGTCTCTCAAAAGGAAGTTATCTATCTAAACTAAAATAAATGACTGAAATATTTACCACCACATATGAAAACAAGTTTATGCTTTTAACACTCGTACGTTTAGTACTTAAGGAAACACGACACGTAGCTTAGAACAAACTGAAAATTACCAAAAAAAAATAACTAATTACTCAACCTGAAATCCGGGTTGTGACCCGGATTTGCATATGCGGAAGGTTGCATATAATTTTAAACTGCGAAATAAATTAATTCTCATAAAAATCTCTTTTATTCATTTCGTTTAAACATTTGAACTATGTTCTAGAAAACTACAATAAAAATTGTGTATAATCAATTCACATATTTGACGAGTGAAATAATCGATTTCACGTCGCTCACAAAAATCGTTTGAAATCTATGAAGACAACTAGATGTAAAATATTTGATCGTAAGATCGTGCGTAAATAATTCTTAAAATAGATACTTTTTATTTACAAATTAACGCCTTATAATAACTTGAGATAGAGATGTTTGTTTTCATATTAATTTCATTCTCCCCTCTTGTTTAATGTATGATGCGTAGTGAGTCATCGGCTCGACATTTCAAAACAAACTCTTATATTAAAAACAAACAAATGCGTAGGAACGTTAACGGAATCTGTAAACCGACACTTGGAGAATGAACCGCTCCAGCTTTTGTCATTAGCACCTCATTCTGTAACGAGACAAATTCCTGCAGCACTACATCTGGGCTCATTCAATTGTTCAAATGATGTGCAATATGACAAGTAGTAAATAGGGTTGCCACACATTATTTATTTAACATTTTTAAAACATATTAATGGTAAATTTAAACCTTTGATTACAAAGGTTTACTTATTGTGTAATATAGTTCACTTTCTACGAATTATCAATACTAAAATAGATATTTAGAAATTAATTTGACATTGCAGGACAAGCATTTATTTTATTCACGAAATAATAGGGTCTATGACATTTTATTAGAGTAATTTTTAAATAATGACTTATCTTCAAAAGTTTTATTCAATAATTTAATGTTTCTAGGAAACGCTCGTGCATTAATAACTGCACAGTCACTTTTATAAAATCAAACATTTTGTCGTTAAATTACATTTATTTTGACATTTTTAACAAACCATTTATATTCACTCATTAATAATGACCACATACATTCAAAAATGCGTCGAAAGTCATTAAATAATTGCAAAATGGCGGACTGAGAAAAACGACGTCTACGAAATCGTTAACTCACCGCCCACTGTCGTAGAGCGAGTAGCGAGCGTGTTGTGTGG